GAGGTAATAACAAATTGGATTTGCATTAAAATCATTATCTTATGTATATATTGGTATATGTGGAGAAAGACATTATTTAATATAAGAAAGTCATGATTAATTGATGCTTCTGTACATCAAGAATGATTTATAGATAGCTATGTCAAAATGATAAAGCTATGCTTGGCTAGATTCTGGAAGCTTCCAGAAGAGTTTAGACTGCATTCAGAGCATGAACATATCCTATATGAGTGCAGAAGTTGTGTTTCGCTCCGTGTCCTCCGTGTTGACATCACCGTTTTAAATTTAAAATCTTTATTTAGCATATTTAGCTTTCCAATCGTAAAAAAAAGTTACACTGCAAGCTCAAACTGGATTGTAGGGAAATGTAAAAATCTGATCTTTTTTTTATTTTAATTGACAAGAGTAGTGTTTTATATGGAGCCTTTCATTTGTTCATGTCTAAAAGAAAACTGAGATGCTTTCCCAGCATTTTTGTCTGCATGCTTATTGATGCATAAAGCATTATCTCCGTTTGGCTCTTCCAGCATTACTGGCATTAGGTGACAGAAGTCAAATGCTAGGAGTTTCTGTCTCCCATGTAAGTGATCACAAACCGTCGGCCACGCTTGTCAAATGAAACGTTTACCATAGTTGGTAAACATGTCATTCCGTCTTAGTTCTGCAGTGCAGCTTTCACGCTGTCAAATGTAAGACACATAAGAAACCGTTTCTGTTTTCTTTTTAGAGCAGAAATCCACCAAGGGTTGAAAAAAAAAAAAAAAAAAACTGGATTGAAGAAAACTTCTCTCACCTTTAATTGCACAATAGTGTGTGATAAAGTGGTACTGAACGTAACAATGGAGTTATTGTACAGAAGATAAACAAGCACAAGGGTTCTCTGTGTTCTTCAGACTCTTGTCAATAAAATCATAACCCTTAGTACGACAAATTTCACTTATCCCACTCCCCCCTCCCTTTAATGTGATTTCCATTTGATTGCCTGGTATTAGACAGAGGTTACAGCGTGTGACAATATAAATGCTTGTTTATAAAACTGTTACTGTGGGCGATATTGCTTTGGCAGTTTGTACACCACTGTAATGATTTCTAACCATGCAGTCATCTTAAAGCACATTTTTCACACACTGAAACTTTATTGTTTTCACCACATTGTTCTCTTCTATTGTTGTTTTTCCAGCAAAGGAAAAATTTCAGGGAAAACAATAACTTTGTTAGTGATTGTAGAGGATTCTGCTGCAGCTCAGCTGAATATATAACCCTCCTGATCTTCATTGTTAAACCCTCATATGCTCTGCTTGTCTTTAATTTTCACTCTACTAATGCATGCTTAAGGTGCACAGTCACGTTCTATGCCTATACAAAAACCACAAAACCATTTGATAATGACAAAAGAAGGTTATATACACCAAGTGTTTGATTCTGCTTTATGAGCTTAAATACAATTTCAAAAAACGAGGCTTCGTCTATGCAATTCATTGCAATTGCAATGTAACATTTAACAAAATTATATTTTCAAATTGCAGAGGCTCTTACTTTTTTTAACAATACAATTAGATAAAGTAATACATTGAATTTCTCATTCCAGCCCTTTAGGTGGCAGCAATATTCTTAAGGTGGGTTTGCTGCTACACAGAGGGTAAAATAGAGTTAAAGCAAGTACGCAAATCTAGGAATATAAATAGAAAAGAGTGATTTTTTTTCACATGGAGTTACAATTAAGTCCTGCAACAACGGACTCTGGGAAAGCAAGCTATCAGGGTCCTGCAAAAATTTAAATCCTGAATTGAAACATTTACATGCTTGTGGTTAGCGCAAAGAAATGTCGAAATAAAATCACAATTGTAGTATTAGTTTTAAATTTTGGACGAAATCGTTCAACCCTACAAAAGGCACAAGGGTATGATAAATAAATGAATACATGCATCCATCCCGCTTCCTCCATCAGGGTCACATTGGGTCTGGTGCCCTATGCCTATTTGTCAATTGCAGGGCATCACATACAATTATGCATACACAGTCTCTCACTCAGGGACAATTCAGAGACAGCAATTAACCTAGTAGTCATGTTTTTGGTTTGTGTAAGGGACCCGGAATACCCAGAGAGAACCCACACATGGTTGCCGGTCTCTTAAAAAAATCCATCTTCAATATATTGCTTCAATCCTTTGCTAGTTTGGACACATTTAACATGAACTGCCTTGACCTTACATCTGCAGAAACAGCGTGGGAATTTCCAACCTGCAGTACATTCAGGGAAAATAGGTTACAGGCTTATAGATGCGTTAGCCATGAGTTTCTAAGGCGTCAGTCTGCTATTATAACTGTTTTAGGGTCAAATAAAAACGATATTGTAAGGATATGTTTCAGTAAAAATGTACAAATTTGTCTCTTTAGTGTTTTAGTCCGGAAATGAATGATTTCCTACATTTACTGTGCTCTTTTTGTTTTAGGCTACTCTGCCACAAAACTCTAACCTCCATCTTTACTTGTTTTATATCTTTTTGGCTCTAGTGGCCTTTTAATTTGAAAATGGTTTGACAGGAAAAGCTGTGAGGAGAAAAGGGAAAGAAATGGAGTAATGATCCAAGAGCCGGGGCTTGAACCAAGGGATATCCTCCATCCATGGACACAAGCTGCTAATTTTTATTTATTTTTTTCAATCTTCAGGGAATTATTCATGGGCTGATTACAGGAACCAGGGAATAGCCCTGCACTTTAAAGTCTTTAATGCACATATGAAGTGTGAGGTTTCTGATTTATATACTAGATGTTTGCTAGATGTCATTTTTTTAAGTTTATACTAAAGGGTTTTAAACCTGAAATGTGCACCATTTTGTCCAGAATGAAAGCTGTCTAGAATCACCAGAACAATGTCAATATTTAGTTTAAATTGTTTATCTACAAGTAAAATAACCTTAGTAGCCATAGTAGAGTAATAGAAAACTGTTTTGGCCTGCTGTTTCATTCATCACAAATATTCAAATGAATTACCTGTGCATACTTTAACTATTTGAAAAATGTCCCCCTGTCCTTACAAAGTTTGTTAAATAGTCCCTATATAGAATGGTATTTTGTGGACTTTTTTTCTAGTTTCCATGGAATATGGATCTGTTTGAATATTAATAACTGAAGAGGCAATATTGTCTTTCCCTGAAGAGGATATTCTCTTGAAAAGTGCGTAATTATATTAATAATAACTGCAAACACACCAATTAGCAGGCAGTATCTTGGTTCCAGTCACACAATGTTATCATTACGGATCTATCAGCCCATTTCCCAGACAGTGATTTAATTGTAAAGTTTTTGGATGACATCAAAATGCTGTTACAATAGAAAAATTCAGCGAAATGGAGGAGTTCTCTATGTAGTTCAATACACTATCTGCTCAACTGATGGAGCATCTGGCCCACATCATGTGGGCCAGATAGGATGCATTTCCTAAAACTGTTTATGAAACAAAATAAATTATTGATATGCATCTTGAAGACCTTCAGTTCATAAAGTCAATATTTCAGTTTTTAAAAGCTTTTAAAAATAGATTTTACTCATTTACAGAAAGTCTCATGTTCCATTGTCCTTCTTTTGTGTTAAGAAATACTAAATACCGTTCCCATTTTCTTTATTTTCTTTATGGTAGTTGTTTGAGTACATGGGGATAATCATAGAGAATCTTCTTATTTGTGCTCTGTTGCCTCGGGTTCCTGACAGCCAGTAATATTATTTGTAGATTTAACTCAACAACACAAGGAAAAAAAACCTGAAAGCACACCTGGAGACCAGATTTGGCCAGAAAATCTGCAAATTGCCTCTTTCTATTCTCCATTTCCTCATAAGAATAATGAGCGACTTACAATTAGGTGAACTGTGTATATGGGTTATTGAAGGTCCCTGTGCGTTGTCCTCTATTTTTTTCGCCAAATTGGAAATATTTTAGGGAGTTGCAAATGAAGTGCCTTGGAGCCGCATGTGGCCTGTGAGCCGTGTAGCAAGTAACCAGGCCCCACAAGCTGTGCCAACGTCTTGTGTGCCAAATGTGTGGCAAGAGGGTGGCATGAACAGTGTGCCAGCGCTAGTCTGCCTGGCTGCCAGGCACTTCTCTTTGTCCAATCAGACAGTTCGGCTTGAGCTAGACCCCTATTCTTGTCTGTTTCCATCTCCTCCCAAAGCTTTTGCAGCCCTCCCATGAAAAACACAGATGTGTGCGCACTTGTGCACAGCATTAAGCCTCCTCTGTGCACTGTTACTCTTACCTAGAGACCATAACTAGGGAGTGAGAATTGCACAGCGTTCCCTCTTTGTTTCTATCTGCTGATGCTCTTGGCTATTTTTTTTTCCCTCTCCAGGCTAAATGAGCATGCCTCAGTCTGTTTTTTAAGCTTTTCATCAGAGTTATAGAAAGATGAGTTTGTCAGGGATGTCTGAAGAAGAAATGCTGTCTGTCTGTGTGTGGCTTTATTGGACATGATGAAGGATGATATTATTGAGGATGCTGCTTCTGCTGCGGCTGGGAGATGAGGAAGGGTCCCATTTGTCTCTCTCCCGCTTAGTGTAATGTGTCTATCTGTCACTCTTCTCTCCATGACTGGACGTTGGCGTTAGTCAACCAAAAAATAAAAAAAGAAAGGGGGAAAAAAAAACCAAAACTGCTAAATGTCAGCATTGTTTCCATTTTTTTTTAACGCTTGGCCATTATTGTTAATTTTCTCCCCTGTCGCCACTCTAATCCAGACAAAGAGTAACAGCATAGATTGCATAATTTCCTGTAATATCTAAAATTACAGCGCACAAACGAGGAGGGAAGCAGTAACCTGACGATAATCCTGCGATCACCGAATGATTGCGTGGGAGAGAGGTGCTTAGAAAGAAATAGGTGTGAAGCAGCAAGAATATACATTGGAAGAGTAATTACAGCGAGTAGATGAGATGAGACTGGAGGTAATGTGAGGTACTCGGTGCAAAGATTAAGCTAATGCCAACACTGCTCTTGTGTCTTCCAGGTCGACGACGCCATGCTTATGTTTGATAAGACTACTAACAGACATAGAGGTAAGAGCAAAGCTCCTTTTCTGTTGCTGTGTTGTTGTTTTTTATTTTTTCAAGAAGTGAGAAAACAGTCATTTTATGTCCTTTCCCCATGAGATAACAGAACAGTTCCATTTCACATGATATTAGGTGTACCATCTGTTCAACAATGGGAGCGTGTCAAAGTAATCAATAAGCTGGTACGGTGTTTAGAATGTTGGAGCGTTAGACACCAACCATGAGTGTGTTTGTTTGCGTGTGTTTTTTGATGGCGGTGCGAGTGTTTCAGAGAGGTGCTTAAAGGGTGTAAAGATGGCGAGATGGTGGGTGCTGTGCAGTCAGATAACAGCTTCTGATAAGACCCAGGAGAAGCACTGACTTTATCACTTCATCTCATCAGCTCCTTATCTGAGATGAGGGGGACATTTCTCTCTTATGCAGAGGACTTTCCAAAGACAGGTTTCCTCTCTGCACCACTATGCAGATGCAGTGGGATGTGGTTTAGTCTGCAGCTCCAGGCCTGGTTTGAAACAATCAGGCCTACTTTAGTTGAACATCCAAATACCCTTGCATTCATACAAACCAAATGCACATCAAGTAGAGCAACAGACATCCATGCATTTAGACGACATTCCCACCAGCATCATTGCCATCCAGTCAGAACAAAGGATGTAGAAATCTACAAACATTTAAGCTTGATATCTCATCCAGTGTATAGCCCTCACTCAATTAGCAATGTTATGTGATTTAGGTGAATGCATATGATATCATCCACCACCAGCCTTTTTAACATTGAGCTGTACCCTACTGAAAAGAGTTTCCTGTCTTGGTTTGGCCTGCATGCTGTCTTCCTCTACAGAAGGCTGCAAACTTTCCAAATGGAGACCCGTATTTTTCACACAGATGGAAACAGGCAGGGTTGCATTTCATGTCCACATATCAAAGCGTCCCTCCAGAAACTAGCCAGGGTTACTTTTGCTTCTCCTTCTTGTCTGTCCTCATGTCTCCTGTATTAGTGCTCTTTTTATCTTCTTTAGTTAAGTGTTCAGCTTTATGCTTTCCCCCGTCTTTTGACTGCTGCCAGTCTGCTGGAGTTTGGGATGCAACCAAACATTCTTTTCCTTTTTCTCACATTTATTCTATGTGATTAAAAAACTTATTAGTAAAGAAGTTTTTCTTTATTTTTTTTGTTTTTCCATCTAAAAGAATAACAGGTTGGTGCAGAGCATCTTCATGCATTGCAGCAAATTATCTGGTACATAGTCACATAAATCCATGTAGACAAAACAGATTAAACATTCTTTGTCAAAGGATCGCATTAAATCTGCTCAACATTAGATGGATTTTTTATTGAAGATGAATTCACATTGTCCATTTAGTGAATCTGTGTAAATGGATCAATGAGGCCAGTAAAATAGATGAGATCCACATTGGAATAGAGCGCATACCCATTTTAAACCTGTTCTCAGGTGTGTACGCAGTCAAAATAGATTCTCTGCAGCACCGCCAATAGTGGTATGCCCATTTTTTTGTTTTCCCAAGAAATTTTTTGCAGGTTATTTTGGATTTTAGTAAATTAGCGCCTTAGAATTACTTAGTATTTCCAGTTCCATCCAACGTTTCACTTCCAAAGTCTGTTTTTCCCCCAAAAAAACTAGTACTGATGCTGGTCCTGTCCAAGTTCATCATTTAGAATAGAATAAGAATAAATTCATTATTGACTGATCTTAATACCTTATTAGAAAACATTTGATTTTTTTTAACCTTCTTAAGGTATTTTTGGGGTCACTAAGCATCTATCACAAGCACAGCTTCCATCTTCTATGACTGTTATTGCTTGGTCAGTTAGATTACTTAAGATCAGCAATTAAAACTATCTTCATAGCAGAATACGATTGGCTGATCAAAGTTAAAGATATTTAGAAATGGAAAGGTTTAATGACCAAAAACAAAAGCATCTGACGAGGTCATTTTAACCTCTTCCAGTCCCTCTGATTATTACAAGCCATTCCAAGACTAATATTAAATAATTAACTTTTGTTTAGATGTTCCTGGGTCCATTTAGGGCCTTTTCTTTCAGTCCTGGCGGCTCACCGATGCACTAAAGTAACTTTTTGGGGAGGCAGACTGTCAGCGGCTGTTTACGTGGGTGTGCATGAGCAGTCAACAGCCACTGACAGGTATTCAGCAAGAAAAAGGGGCAGACACGCTGACTGGTGTGACTGGTTGTCACACCAGTCAGCTCACTTGTAGTCAGAGCTGCCAGCACCCCATTTCTTTGTACTGGGCTGAGCACTGCTCTGCCATAGAGGTGGAAATATTTGTTTGCACAAAGCCACTACTTTACTTTAAATTATTAAACTGTATCTTAACTGTAGATGGAAAAACCTTCCGTCCTTCTTTTTAGCTGTATCTGCATTAGAAGTGTGTGTATTCTGTGAGTGGGTGCTTTGCAGATAAACTCTTTGAGTCTGGTAAACAGTTCCTAAGTGTGAAACATGTGAACTTTAGTGGAAGTGATCTATGGCTTTGAGGGGATTTTGATCTGTAGTGACAGAACCCAGTGTGAGGTCTGCTGTGAGACGAAGGCTTTTCTCGCAGTCTCTCTTATTTCTCACTCTTTTGCTCTCCTGTCTGCTGTGCCGCCAGCCGCTCTCCGAGAGGCTCCGGGCAACACAATCTGAGAGTGTGTGTGTAGAATGTGTGTGTGTGAGGCGTTTGCCTTTGGACAGCTAAATGTCCTTCAAACGAAGACAGTGATGGAGAAAGAGCCTCCTTGGCAATTTCTTTTTTAATGACATACTTATATTGAGCGTGACGCGGCGTTGGGAGGCAGGTGCACTTCCACCAGCGGATTCTGGTTTGTCCGCCTTGGAGATGCAAAACAAGAGACGCTTGGTGCTTTGATCTTAAAACCACAGCAGGTCTTCCAAATGAGTTACATGTTATATTAAAGCCCAATAAGAGAATCTCAATAATTCATCCGAGCCATTGGTGCAACTGTGTAATATTAATGGCTTAGTTGCCCTGTGACCACAGCGGAAACAACGTTGAATATGATATGAGTGAAAGTGGTCCACAGGCTCACTCTACCACATAATCCAGAAGCAGTGATGGGCATCTGGCAGCTTGCAGTCTAAATCAATTTCCCACCTGTTTCATTTTATCTTACAGATTGAGTCATGAAAAAATAATTCCTTATTATTTTTTTTTTCTTCTGCAGAGCTGCAATTGCTAAAAATAATATTATTTATTCAGCAAATCAAATGTTACACTGAAGAGTCCTTCTTAGATAAGGGTTTGCTTTTTCTGTAATTGCAAACTCTTAAAAATAATAGTTCAGGTAGAGCACACTGCCTGACACCTGCAGCTTGGTGAAGAGTGCATTTATAACGGGGAAGAAAAAACATTCCCGTACACCTGGAATAATATTCAGACGCTGCACTTTATAACAGTGACGTCCAACTTGCGCAGGAAGCTGCTTTGCCTGCCGTGACTTACAGTGCTTAAGGAAACATAATGAAGGAGGTAGAGAGTTGTTGCTGAGACAAAATACTCCTCATGGTTCTGAGTACAATTCTAACATTTTTTCACATCAGGGCACAGAATTAACTTTCCTATTTATTGAGATTGTATTTGTGTAGGAGGAAATTAACATATATTTTCAAAATCTGTCACATCATCCTTTATTCTTATATTTCTAAATGAAATGAAAGCAACTGGTGGTCTTTAGGAAGATAAAAAAAGAAAGAAATATCAACAAATAATTAAAGCATAACATCAGCATCAACATCCCTGTTACCCCAGGCTCACACCGACTCCGGTCTTACCGTTGCGGTGCGGTGGGTGCGGCGCCGCAGTGATTCCAAGTCATTAAAAAGACGTAAACCTCTCTCACCGGCTGCTGAGCTGTCCGGATGCGGTTACCGAGACACTCCGGCGCTGCAGAAAATTCCGCAAGAAAGCTATCCTTGCGGCGTGCCGGAGCCCTCCGCAACAAGCTCTCGCAAATATCCTTATTTGGGCCGTGTTATCGCGTGAAGTTACGTGAACTCAAATGAACTTCTGTTAAATCTCCGGACCTGTTGCCGGAGCCGCAGAGCCGCACCGCACCGTAGTCAAAAGGGCGGTGTGAGAGGGGGTGTGCGGGAGTTGCGGTCTCCGTCGGCTCGGTAACCGCACCGGAGCCAGTGTGAGCAAGGGGTTACACCTTTAAATTTGGTGATGGCAGCATGATGGGGATCCTTTAGATCTGTGGGAGACTTTGGTAACTAAAATATGTCCTGCTAATTAAACTTGAGCTGTTTTGTATAGGATACAGTCAGAAATCTAGAAATGGGTAAAACTAGTAGAGACATCCACAGATGCTTTCCAGTAAGAAAAAATATGAAAAGCTGTGGAAAGGTATAAATACTCGCGCATTTGCACTATTTTTGTGAATAAAAGGTGAACATAATAACTGGCCTCTGGCTGTGATTTCTACAGTATGACCTCACAGTTGATCTCAATCTTCATGTATTTTTTAATTTTTACTGAGATCTGTGTTGGTCTGGATGTTTATGAACTGCATGACCGGTGCTTGATGATTAGTGTGTTTTCTTTGGTGCTGCGGTGAATTAGATAGAGGACAAACGTTACACTTCACTAGTAGCAGCATTGTCCTTCAGACGGTCCTCACGAGCCTGGCGAAGCGACAGCCAAAGGAAACGTTCCCTACCCTTCTCGTTTCCTCGGCACCTTTGTTTCCGCTCTCTATCTCTCTTAGTCAGTCACTCTTCCCCGTTCTTCTTTTTCTTTTGCACAGTTGCACTATTTCTGTCGCTGCACCGTCTCCCCTTCCTGCCTGTCTCGCCATCTTTCTCCTTCTCTTGTCTTTTTCCCCCTCCTGCTAGAGGACACTCGCTGTAAGCAAAGCTCTCCACACAAAGGCGCATGCTGCACACCATCTTCTTGGCATTTAAAGGATGAGAATACAGCCAATTGTGTTGGAAATTGAACTCTCTAAAGCCTGCTTTCCCACTGCA